GTATTGGGCTAAAGTTAGTTGCAGTTGTCAAATGTCATTGAATCGTCAAGGTAAAACGGCTAGAATGTGAGGTTAGAACATGATGGATATCAGATTTATTTATTGTTAAAAATTATTTAATAGCCCGGGAGGAAGCGAGTCTCGAGACTCACTTAAAGATCTTTAAGTGACAGTTTTCGTGAAATTATTTTTATTTAAACTAGATTTTTTCCCATGATAATTTATACTGTATCAATGATAAAAGTGCAAGTTTACCAATTTAGTGGTACAAACATGAGAAAAACATTTTACTAAACATTAAACAACATTTTGTATAAATTTACAAAAATAACAATGATCCGATGCAAGTTGTAAATTTGACGTTTCCTAATTATTGTGTCATTTTTTGTAATTAAGGTAAATGTAAACAAAATGTCCTGAATTTTTTGGACCCAGATACAGTCGTCAAAAACTGCGCGCACCGTTTGATGTAACCCTGCATAAAGTAGATTTAATTAACGTTGGGTACCTAACATAAAATTAAATTAATAATAATAATAAATAATTAATTAATTAATTTAACCTGTTGCTAAATTTTTTTCTCATGTTTTTAGCACTAAAAGTTTGTCAAATATCTGTGGTGTAAAATATAATCTTAAAATGGTGTCTAAATCCAACACCAAGTGGTGTTAACATAAACACCATGAATTATGGTTGAAAATATACAGCAAACACCAAAACGGTGTTTATCTAAAAATATTTGAGAAGTGCACCTACACAGATAAAAAGGAATAGTTAATTTAACTATATTAATTTAGTTGGCCCATAAGTATTTATTTAAATCAACTGTGGGAAGGTTAATATAAAAAAAGATTTGTTTGACGGTATTAAACCAGATAGTTATTTTATTTTTTTTAAATTGGTTAAATTAACACAGAAAACTTTAGTGAAACCAACCCGCTGTATGGTTCAGTTTACTAAATATTTTGTTTTGTAAAATAAGAGTTACTTCAACCTAGAGCACTCTGTTAAAACGATTAAAACAATTTGCCGTGCATTCCTGGTAGCATAGTATACTATGGTATCGGTACATATCGGTATATATATGTACCGATCGCGGCAAAGGCGGTGTGGATCACGTGATGTTCTTAAATCTCGCCTATGTTGACTTCCATGAAGAGTATATAAGCTCAGGTAGTCCTTTGCTTTGGTGTGACACTACAAGTTGTTCGATACTAAAGAGGCCTTAAACAGGTGGAAACAGCTGTCAATACTTGAAGTATTTTAAGTTGGTGGAACGCACTAAAAACATTATCTCTAGCCAGTTAAAGGTTAAATTTTCTGGAATAATACCACTGGTAATATACTAGTAATGCGTTAAGGAACTTCCTGTTTCCTTTTTATTCCTTTTTTTCTTCGTATACTATAGTATGATTTAATTTGACCAAAAACACATAATATTTAACACTGAAAAAGAGTTCAATTTACACCAGGTAAAATTTGTTTTAATACTGTGTGAAAGTTAAATTTACACTATTTTAGTATTTGAATTTACACTGGACCAATGAACCATATTTAACACCATTTTGGTTTGTATCGATATAGACCATGTATGGTGTTAATTTGGTATTAAAATGGTCATAAAATTTTGAACAGTGCACTTTTAACATTAATACAGTTAGTTTAAACTATCACAGGGAAAAAATATAATACTTAATAATATAATATATTATATTACCGCGAATAATTTGTCGCTACTTTCCAATAATATTTGTTTTCGTCGTAGAAAATAGTATTTTATGTATAAGCGCTATTTTAGTTACAAGTTTTATTAGGCACGAAAGCTATACTTTATTTAAAGCCAAATTTAACCTTAATTTTTCGCAATTTATAATAAAGCTAACCTCAGCCGGTGACTAAAATTCCCAAAAGCCACTATTGAAAACTTCAGCCCGTGACTAAAACAGTCTAGTCACAGCTTGTCAAGTATAGTATGCAACTCGTTTATAAACTTTATCAACCGTTTATTAAACTTAATACATAAAATATTATTTTGAAATAATGTGTTTTAAGGACAAATTTAAGCATATTAATTTGCAAATTCTCACCTCGTTCTACACTAACAAGATATTCAAATTAAATAGCAAACCATTTATATAAAACTAATTAAAATTAATTGCCGGTATGTTAATACCGTTTAAAAAATATTATTTGATATTTAATTTATTACTTTTACCAGCACAATTAATGATTGTGTACTTAACATTATATTGCGATTGTATAAATGACAAATTAATTGCAATATTTATAATCTTATCTATATTAAACGAAGTGGATTGGAATTTTATTTATTGCTCGCAATAACATATTTATGTTTGTTACGTTATTTAATAAGCATTGCATTGTAAGTATTGTAAAACAATTTTTTACGGTTTAGTTTGGGCAGGTAACAATCGTCGAATAATTAACAACAATAGAAATATTAAACAACAGTGGCGAATTCGGCACAATCTGGTAATATATCGGTTAGATATAAAAACCTTCGTAACGACAACAGAAAGCAACACTTTAGCGCACGCGAACAACTCATAACGTAATTGCCCCCATTAAGAATAAGGCCTCCCCAAGAGAAGTGGAGGGTGGTCTGTTACGCCACCACTTATTACCACCGAATTGCTAATCTAACACTATTACCTACCCCCTCTTTCTCGATGTGCAAAAGAATATCAGTAAAATAAGTCACGCAAGCAATGTTTATTATCCAGTACTTTTGTAGGTATATATGTATATTTTTATATACATAAATAATGATTTTAGAAAAAAATTAATTTTTGTGTTGTCATGGAAATATTCTAGTTAAACATTTATTGCCTGACTACATTGCCAAAATATCATAATGTCAACTTTTTGTGGTTTAGTCATACAAAATAATTTTTCTACAACCAAGCGAAAAGTACAAAGTAACCAAAACGCCCGCTTAGTTACCATGGAAACCATAATAACGAAACGTCTAGGATACACTGCGACTTTTGACACAAAAGTCAAATTTGAGGTTATTAATAATAATTATTATTAATTATTACCAAACATTTTTATAAAAACACCGGTTGTAGAAAAAATCCTGTGTGTAATTTGAGCGCAGTGACATTTCCGCTCTCGCGAAATAGCCGCGCTCCGCTACGCGTCGCGCGTTAAACTCAGAGCGACAATACGTCACTACTGTTTTCCAAACACTGTACATTTATATAGTATGATATTTTTTATGATTAACTTTTTTATGTTTCTAAATCGATTCTTTTTACAATTTGTATTAAAAAAATTTGCAATTAAAAAAGGATTTTATACAAAAATGTGTTTTAAGAAACGTTCCAAGAATACATTACAAGTGAATATTACGAGAAATTTAAGTCAAATTGCCTAGTTGAGGAGCGTCAGGTCAAAATCAAATTTGTCCCTTCCTGAAGAAAATTCAAGTAAGCAGCTTTAGTGGGTGATAATTATTATCTGAAACCACCCTAAAATTTGCCAAAGACAAATATTTCCTATTTTAAATCAGATACAAAAGAGGTCTGACCAAAACAAAAAGTGTCCACGCTCCTGACCTACAGCTCTCCATTCAGTCACGTGACATCGAGATGGCACACTTAATTTGTACGTACTGATTTACTTCGTTAGTTTTTTTTTTTTCGTTTTTCAAATCATTTTTTTTAATTTGAAGTTAAGGTAGGTCCAATAAAAAACAAATAACTCTTGGTACGATACGATCAACAATAAACATATCACATGCAATTTGGTCACATACATGATAGGGAGACCAAGAGGATGTAGAATGCCATTTATTGCAAGAATGTATATACTTAAAATAAAAAAAGTTGTTTTGCTCTCCTGAAAAATCTGATTAGAGTGATATATTCGGTTTTAACCCGACGCTCCTCAGTTTATTTAATACCTAAAATTTATTTTGCAAACTTTAAATAGGTTAAAATCAATTTTTTTATAATTTTATAATCTTCACATATGAAGTATTCGTTAATAATGATCATGGGCCCCTTCAAAACTTATTCCTGTGGATCCGTTAATACATTTTAATAGATATTTTGCCCCTTCGAAGAAAAAATAGTGATTTTGTGTTTTTTTTGGACTTATTTTTAACAACTTTAGATCCTTTGCAAACCATATTTTAAATGTTACATTTGTATTATATAAAATATAATATACTATATAATATAATATAAAATATTAACATAATATTATTAAGGAGATCCTTTTTAATTTTTCAATTGTTTTTTACAATATTGATAAATTCATTTTATCTTTAACATGTAAATATGAGCGTTTTATTTAACTAAATATATACCTATTCTTATCGAGGAAGAACTTTATATTTGTAGTGAATATAGAGGTAAAACGTTGTTGGAGAGGTTGAAATGTGAAAATCACGTTAAGGGCGTCAATGTGTTTGGTTAGACGCGCGTCGTCGTCCCCAAATCTGCTCGTCCCCCTACTCCTCCTCCCGCGCCGGCAGCCGATTGGTCGCAGTTTCCGGTGTGTCTTTTATCCCCCAACATCCTACTCCATTATGCGACGCCGTCGGGACGGCTAAAACAATGGCCGGGATCAATTCAGCTTGAAACACAATGCCTTTTATAACTGTTTTACTCTATTCTGCTTATTTAAATGAACGTTTATAGTCTCCACTGTTGATCGATAAAGACACGATTAATCAGTATTCAAGCGCCACTTTATCCTGCCGAGAAATAATGGACCCAAATTAGGCATTTGTCGTTATAAATCCAAATTAACTGGCTTTATGTCTTCACAATTTATGACTCTCATTATTTACTTATCTCTCTTCTCATTTTCTTACAATTATTAACCAAAACAAAACCATAAAACAAGCACTTTTTTACGATCCATAATTTTTTATTCTTCACGAACATTTATTTTATCAACATTATACAAACCTGATAAAGTATTCTCAAAACATGACATGACATTTAAAACAATTGTTTTCATTCCAGGTCAAAATGGCGACGATTCGCTGAACTCCTCAAAAAATTCGAGTAGTGCCCTAAGTAAAAAACAAAGAAAAGCGCGCACAGCCTTTACGGATCTACAGCTACAAACGCTGGAAAAGAGCTTCGAGAGACAGAAATACCTTAGCGTCCAAGACAGGATGGAATTAGCAGCGAAACTTAGTCTTACCGATACCCAAGTGAAAACGTGGTACCAAAACAGAAGGTAAGGACATCTTCTACTTTATTATTATGTATTAGAGGAAGGTCCCCTATTTTCGGATAGGCGCCAATTTTCGGATAGTGGGGTATTTCGTCACCCCTTTGAAATTTGCGCGAAAAATATAGGTCTCTGGAAACATCCAATTGATTGGTATCCACACAGTATAATTTAGTGTTTCGCAAATGTTTCGCTAGATGGCCAAAAAGTAAAAACCGGTTTATAGCGTGCTGAGATTTTTGTTCGTGATTTTTTATTGCCGTTTTTCAAGGAAAGTATGCGAGCCAATCGCTAGCAAAGTTTAATTTGATTTGCCTTGTATATATTGAAGCTTTTCCACATATCATAATTAGTTTTAACTTGCAATTTTTAAGTAAAATTAAAACTTAACCTATAACAAGAAAACTCTTAATTTCGGATACCCAAGGGTTCCTAAATTCGGATATCCGAAATTAATCGCCTTTGGATTTCAACCCTCTAACAAGCAGTTCTTCAGCTTCCACAAATAGAGGCAGACAAAGGCGACAAGGCTTAAGCTGGGTCATTACAAGCTCTTTATACAAGAATGCACTAGAATAGAGTCTACGTGATCAAAACAGAAAAAAGTCATTGCAAAAAAAATCAATATTAAAAAGGAAGAAAAAACAAAGCAAAATAAATAAAAAAAGGTCTGCAAGGGAGACTGTTAGCGATAGTAGAGACTCAGAAGGACACATGGTGACTTTTAGCGATAGTAGTGACTCAGAAGAACTCACGGTAGTAGATAAAATAGATATGGAAGTTGAAAACCAAGACAAAGATGCAGAGTGTATGTTCTGCGGAGATCTATTTTCTAAAGACAAACGTGGTGAACAGTGGATTAGGTGCATAAAATGCTCTAGATGGGCCCATGAGGACTGCAGCAACGGGACCAAAAATAAGGACTACGTCTGTGATTTATATTGTCTAGATTCTTAAATCCATTTTTTGAGACTTTTTTGCCAAAAATGTTGTTATTTTACATTGATTGTTGCCTAATTTCGGATATCCGAAATTGGGAAACCACCATGTCCGAAATTAGGCGACCTTTTTCTAATTTATGAAAAAGTTTAAGTTTTTGTTATTTTTTATTGTAAAGCTGCGCAATGGAATAAATGTTCTTTTTCTACAATATTTTGTTTCCCAAAACTACTATCTTTGTGATATTGCAAATTGGAATGGTTCTAATGGTCTAAACCCAAAATTTTGGATATTTTTTAAAAACTATCCGAAAATAGGGGACCTTCCTCTATAATATATATAAAAAGTCATTAATGAAAATATTCGGAACCTTTGATACTTCCGTGTAAACAAGCTAACTATTATTTTCTTATTTTAGAAGGTTTTTAATTGACAAACTGAATCAGTTTAAAATACTCTTACAGCTTATATTGCAGAGCCTACCTACTTTTTTATTAACAATTTTAATGAAGCTTTTTAATTTTGATTAAAACGTGGTTAAAATAAAAGTAATGAGAATGAAAATGCGGTTAGCCGGTATATTTAATGCATGAAAGCAAAAGTTCAGTGGAGGCACGATGAATGAGCATGGTAGCGAGTGCTATACCGTGTAATAAACTAATGAGAAAAACAAGCATAACAATTAGACTATTTAATTATTTAATGCCATTGTCGGGCGGCAGCGGTATTCGACGGTAAAAAAGCGTTAGACGTTAGCGTGTTTAAGAACCATCTGGGCGCAGTTTATGCCGCAACGCGGTGCAATTGAAAGCCCCCGTCGGAAGTCTTTAAGAACTCGCTTATCTCGGGATTAATAATGTATGTTAAACTACCCTTAAGTGCTGGCAAATTGTTGCCAGAACCTCCGCGACCTGTTCGCCGACACCATGCGCAAACCTAATTTATGCGCCAACTAACGCACGTCAAATCACTCGTTTTCTTATCGCACTGCGCCCCCGTTTAAAATTAAGCTACTAAACTTTATAGGCTGTATACTAAAACGTTTTTTATAATAAATCGTGTAAAAAACAAATGACCAATTAATCTTGATTTTTCATTTGCATTTTTTGTACCACAAAACCATTTTTACACGTCTTTTACGATAAAAAGTACCTAACATTAAGAAACAGGTATTTTATACCATAAAATAATTTGACGTAAAGAAGTCTAATACGCTAAAGAAGCTGTTATCATCGTAACAAAAGTAGAACTTTTAATAATCAGCTGTCAAACGCTTAGGTTACAAACGAGTGTTTTTGAGAATAAAGCCGAAAAATGTTAAAACATATCGAAAAAAAAAACCGTGGATCGATTTGTTGTTTTGTTGGGTGTATTTCGAGAGAAAATCCTGGGTTGAGTTTTTACCGGTTTTCCAATAAACAGTGTTAATCTGAATGAAGAAATAAATTGCATACAGTGTCTGTAAATATAAATTGTACCGATTAGATACAATAAATACACATTTTAGTAGTGATTAACGTGAAAAGTGTAAACATTTCAATTCAGTAAAAATCGTCAAACAAATAAGTCGCCTAAATTTAAACAGCATTTAGCATTATTAAAAAAAAGCGTTGATTAAGAATTCTTTAAAGTCTCCATTCAACGGTAAAATACCATTATATTATGTATTATATATAATATTATGTTGCCATCAATTCGTAGGTATATTTTGTTGTTTAAAATGCAGTTGTCGGCGTTTTTTAGAGAACTTAAATATAAAAATGATTGATTTTATAAACCTATAAGGTTATGTTTTTACTAATTTCTGAAAAATGTCAAAACTTAAATATAAATTATGTTAGGTAAAGTTATCATTAGTTAATTCTGCACCAACAAATGTACTTACCGAATTGGATACTTTGGCAAAACATGAAAATGCAACGATTTAGTTCTTGAATTTTATTTACAATTAAAAACACAATAATTCACCATGATCCCTTTGATAAAATACACTCACTAACGTAATTATATAAGAATTTAAGCGTTGAGTTTCTTAATCAATGATATAAGGAATAATCAATCGAAATCTAGTACTAAAAAAGTTTTTTAATTTTTTCCTTGCAACTTAAAACACAAATAACGTACGCGATTTAGTTGTGCAATTGAACAAAATTTGTCGAGTAAGACTTCTGCCTTCCTCTCTTTTGTAAAAGAAACTACATATTTATTTAAAAATGATGTATAATCGGTGCTTTAAATTTATTGTTGACAATCCTTAAATTCACGCAATGCATTCGAAGTCCACCCGATGGCGCGCGCGTTGCGATACTTCTTTAGCGTATGGTTTAAAAACACAACTTTTTGGTTGTCATTTCTTGAAGTTATCATTCCATGATATTTAATTCTTGCGATAAAACAATTTTATATTATATTCTTACGAAAAATTGTGTGTGCCTCACTATTAAAGTGAAACTTCCGAATAAGATAATAGGAATCATGTTTTAGAGTAATGATTATAGTTTTGTTGTTATTATTCATTTACATATTTTATTATTTTTTGTTCCAAATTTATAAAAAAATTCCCAGTTTCTGATTAGCTACCTAACTACTAACCAGTTACTGACTTGTTACCGATTAGATACTGACTGCAGTTCATGTTTATTAACTAAATAATGACTAGTAACCCATCAGTTATTGACTAGTTATTGTTTGTAGTATTAAATTGTTTGTAAATTTTAACTTACCTTATCGTTTTTTACTTGTTAAATCCTTTCATTTGATACCCATTATGGGAACCCATGTTAAGGAGGTTGTGAAAAATAGGCAATAGAATTAATTTATGTCCACCTCTTTCTTATATACCCAATTTATTAAAATTTAGATACATACAAGGTATGTATGTTATAAAAGGTTTTCTATACAAGTTTTTATTGACATTTTGTTTGAGTTAAATATCTAATTTTTTATACTTGTATATTAACGTATCTTGATATATCTGAACAAACACTTTATTATATATCATAAAAAACGCAGTGTCAGTGTACCCGTTACAATTAAAATACCCCTCTGCGACTTCATGCTCTCCCGATCCTTATCACCGTTTAAAAAATATCTTTAAAAGCGGTAATTCTATTGCAACAAAATACATAATGACGCTTCATTTTTCGGACTTACACCTCGCTTAGTTAAGATTCAAAAACACTGAAAAGTAGAAGACATGGCGTCATATTCGGTACCTTAAAAGAGTTTGTGTGCGTAAGAATCAGAAATTAATACACACTTAATAACTAACATTGTTCGGGTATATTATAAGGTGCTCCGTGTTATAAAAGATCTTTCGGTAGCAAATTGAGTAGGTACGTTGGTATGATATTATCCTTTCTGACGGGAATTGTTTAAAATCATTTAGTCACCTAATTGTCGGCAAAAAATGCTGACGTGTTGCCGAGGCGCCGACAAACAATTACCCAAAGCCAACATTGATGAGACGAGTCTGCGCCGCCTGTGTTAATAATATTATGTGTCGGTAAATTACAACCCCGATAAGTTATTACAGATTTGTGTTACGGACACATTAATTTTTAATGCCATTGGGAGCCTTGTGGATAAAGCTGGTTGTTGTAATTAAAAGGAATCTGTGGATCGTTAATTTAGCTTCATTTATTCATCGATTTAATTGGAAATAATTAACGCGTTCATGGGTAATCGAATACAGGCACAATATATAAAGTTTATTAAAATAACTACTGTCTAAAATGAAGATTTCTTGCATCATTACATAAAGAGAAACCTCATGGTTTTCATTAATCACTGACAACTCCTTATAAAGTTCTTATTATTTATCCTAATTGTTTGCTTTTGTTATTGTGTTTGTGGTAATTTTCTATATGCAGTTCGGATAATTACATTTAACATCGTTAATCATCTGCTTGGTATCCTTTTATTGCACTTTAATTACTTTCGCATTGAATTTAAGCACTGATATCAAATTGCTTATTCCACGTTATACATATTACCTTCAATTAAACAATTATAAAATCTAACTACTGTTCTGTTATATTTGTTTGCCGTTAATACTAATACGAATC